TTAAGTTGTGTTTTTAAAACTATTAACTGAACTTTTCTAAGAATTACAGTAACTCCGTAACCTCTGGTTCTGCATATTGTGAACTTACAAGTGATTCATTCCCATGGTGATTTTTTTTTTGGTCCAATGAACGCTGGGAAATGTTATAAAAACCCAAACCATCGGATGTGAGAAATCAGCTTGGTGTCTAAATGCCATTATGTAAACCACCACTATTTTTCAATGTTTATTTAACACTCACAATAAACACCTGTATGGTCCTGTGGCATAATAGACCACCAAGCTAAGAGAGGACAGCTAGGATCTGAATAAACAAACAACCCAAACGGATCACATCTGGCTGTCTGCTCATGAGTCCAGTTGTAGGAACTTAATTCCCCTCCTTTCCACCTCCTCTGCCAAGCTCCTTTGTTTTCCAGCAAAATTCCTGGGTGGTTCCAGAATTTTCTCTCTGTGGTCAAAGCTCCTCCTTTAAAGTCCATCCCAAACAGTCACTATTGCTGCCTCTCCTGTTTCCTGCCATTCTGTACCGCTCTGCAGTCTAGGGTATCCACACCCATGGCCATTGAATTCTAACTCATAGTGACCTTATATATGGTTTTTTAAGTCATGTAAATCTTTACAAGAGCAGATACCCTCATTTTTCTTCCAAGGAGCAACTGGTGGGTTTGAACACCTGATCTCTCTGTAAGCAGTGCAATGCTTCCCTGACAGCACCACCAAAAGGCGACAAGGAATTTCCATTCCAGAAACTTTTCAGTACTGAGCACATCTGCTGGTGTCACTACATGTCCAGCTTCTTCTGTGTCCTGGAATGTCACGAATCCGGAATCTTAGAAGCAAAAAGGAGACCTTTCCTAAGAAATAACTGGTTTTGAACACAGTTCAATATATATTTCATTACAGTTTTTAATGCTTCTTCATGAAACTTTTTTCCCAACAAAAGTATCAAACCAAAACCCAACGTCACTGCGTAGATCCCAACTCATAGGAACCTTACATAGGGTTTCCAAGGTTGTGAGTCTTTACAATAGCAGATAGTCATGGTCAAATCTTTCTCCCACAGAGTAGCTGGTGGGTTTCAACCTCCGATCTTGTGGCTAATACTTTAACCCTTACCCAATAGCACCACCAGGGCTCCTGAAAACTTCGAGATGGTACTATTTCCCCTTACTCTAATATCAGTAAGGAGCTTTCATAGTGCTGTTGGGTAAGCATTGGACTGCCAACTGCAAGATGGATGGTTCAAAACCACCAGTCACTCCACGGGAAATAGTTGGGTCTATCTGCTGCTGTAAAGATTTACAGCCTCAGAAGCCTGGTGTAGGGTTGCTTGGACTAAAATCAACTTGATGGCAGTGGGTTGGTGGGATTTGGGGGAATATGTGGGCAAGGAACTTGGTAGTGTAATGGATGACAGTTAGAATCCACCTACAGGCTCTAGATACCTAGCTATCTTTTCCTGTAAGGTTTAGAGCCAAGCAAACTCTGCAGGGCAGTTCTACTCTGCCACCTGAGATTGCTATAAGCAAGGAATTGACTTGATGGCACCAAGATACAACACACACTATTTTTTTGTTAAATGAACAGGGTGCTAGCTTTAAAATGCATATCTGGGTTATTTGTGTTGGCAGTTAAGCTTGCGTGTTATCTGTTTGCCGTGCTGCAGCATGCTTGGTGTGGTTTCACGCCTATCAGCTCACCAAACAGCTTGGCCTCTTGCACTCTGTAGCTTTATCTTCCTATCTTTCTACCTCATTGCTAACAAGCACTCTTGTAAATCTAAGCAGGAAAAACTCTTCATTTCCCATCTGCTTAGAGTTGATCATTAAGCTAATGACAATTGGAAGAGCCCTTCGTAAGAGAGAAACTGAACTATACAACTATACAATCGTGGCTAGCTGGATTCAGTGTAGGATTGCACAGTAAGTAAGGTAAGCACAGACTTACCTTTGCTTACTTCCTAATATGTAGTGAGCAGCTTCACCTTTTTTTCACCACATCATAGATTCTGCTTCTAGGTGTTGCTGGCATCTGCCTCTCTCCTGGTACCACCCTACAGCACAGAACCAAAGCACCCTTTCAAATCCACAAGCCCTGACAGAGTTGAGGCACCTAGCAAACATGAGAAAGGAGCAAGGTTGCTTGTGCTGACTTACTAAAGTCTGCACTGCGTAGCTTCCGTTCTTCCCTTGTTTATTGGGTAATCTGCCCCTGGTTGGAATATTCAAAAGGAAATGACTGGAGCAGAGGGGAAGGAGACAGGACACAGAAGGGCGCATAACTGCAAAGAACAGAGCATTCGTTGCTCCGATATTGTGGAAAATTATCAACATCACCTTGTTTTAAGATGATTGATCAGGCTAATGTGTCCACATTTGCATTTTTACCTCCTAATTAAAAGTAATACACTGATAAAACTTTTCGGAAGAATATTCCCACAAATGCCTACTTTAGAGACAGCTATTTGACAGTATGTTTTATTTTACATAAGCAACAATTCTGCAGCTCTTCTTATTGACTATTAATCTTGGGCAAGTTAATTAGCCTTTCAAGGGGTCGGTTTCCTTATATGAATACCACAAAAAATAGTAGGACCAAACATATGGAATTACTGTTGAGAATTCAGTTTATAAATTATCAAGGGTTCATGAGGGAGGAGGAGCGGGGATGGAAGGGGCAAAATGAGGAGCTGATATCAGGGGCTCAAGTAGAAAGAAACCATTTTGAGGATGATGGCAGCAGGTGTACAGGTGTACTTGACACAATGGATGTATGGATGGATTGTGATAAGAATTGTATAAACCCCAAATAAAATGATTTTTTTTAATATTCAAAAGAAATAAGAAAACAAAATTACATAATTCAGGCCCTGGCATAGGGTAAGCACTCAAAATAGTTTAGCTTTTATTTTAGAATATACCTTTTCCTCACTTATCAACTATTTTATTATCTGTCACTTTCCATTTATGACAATAGAAAAAATACTACACCTCAATGATTTTGCACATTAACAGCATACATTTGGCAATAAAGAACACTGAAGTATGAGGCAAGAAACAGGCTATGATGTTAGGGTTACATGTCAACTTGACTGGGCCATGATTCTCAGTGCCTTGAGAGTTATATAATGTATTTTAGCGAGTATCAAATTATATAATTTAGCACATATGCAATTATGTAATCATCCTCCATTTTGTGATCTGATGTGGTCGTTGTCCATTTCACATGTCAATTTTTTTAAAATGATGTGATCTTTAAAATCCAACCATGTTGATAAATGAGATGTGTGTGTGTGTGTGTGTGTGTGTGTATGGCCTTCAAAACGTTAATGGAAATTCCATTTTCTTTCAATTCTATTTTCCCATGAACTTTTTAAAGTTCCCTTGAACATATGTATGTATATGTGATTTTAACCTAATGTTGTCTTTTAATAATTTTTTTGTTAATCTTGCTTTATTTCCGAGGGAAATCTGATGTGTATCTTCCCAGACTATTTCTTATGCAATTATAAATACATATATATTTGTGTGAGACCAGGTTGATTAGAGAAATAAATCCAGGGACCCTTATATATATGTAAAAGAGAGTTTTAGATCAAGAAGTGTTTATATATCAAGTAAACATCTGTGCTAGATAAGTTTATTGTTTATTGTTCTAACCAGGCCAATAGGAACATGTAGGATTAATAAGGTCACAGTTTGATTGGAGGGCAAAGAGATAAATGGCTCACCAAACCCTGCCAATCTCTCTCTTGATCTCTGGTGATTGGACCAGTGTGCAGCTTCCTTAGCGAGTTCTCTGCCTCAACTTGCAAGCTACACTACTTGTGTAGTATGATCCACATCCAACCTGTGGATCATATTATTAGAGCCTGAGGTTCCTTTGAGACCTGCTTTGCCATGCTGCTGGTGTATACATTGCTTGAGCTTGGGACTGTTGGATTCTATCATTTGGCTAACTGTTGGTGACCCACCCTGCTATTTGCTGCCTCTGGCTGGGCTTCCTGCATTGCTCTATGGAAGACTCAGCTATCTGCTTCCTTGACCTTGGACTGAGCAGCTCGTGAGTTGAAGAGCTTCCACTACATTAACTGCTTCATGGAAGTAAGTTGAACTGAGCCCTCTGTGCCACAGTATGGACTAATTATCTGTTATATTCCTTCGTGATATATATATATATATATATATATTATATATATTATATATACATATATGTATTATATATACAGCTAATATATATATAAGCTGTTATATTCCTTTGTGACATATATATTGATATATATATATTCATAAGTGTCCTGGTTTTGTTTTTCTAGATAACCCTGTCTAATACAACATCCCAGCCCAATTCAGATCAAGTCCATAAATCCGGTCCTAGTCCATAAATCTGATACTAGTCTATAAATCCCTCTTCAGACTCATGCAGCTGCATGCAATGATGTAGAATGTAGAATGCAAGATCACAAGCCATTGGGTACAGAGTCTTGTGGATCCAAAGGCATCAAATGCATCACCGGGGCTCCAGCTGCCATCAACATGGCCCAAAGTGGCTCATCAACAGGAAGGTGAAACAGTGAGAGATGGAGGCTGGCCTCCGAATAGCCATTTATCTTGGTAGCCCTCCAATCAAGTTTCAACCTGATTGACAGGCTAAATTCTGTCCACATGTTCCTATAGAAGCCACGTTGGCACCAAAAAACCTAACTATCACAACATTAATATAAATCATTTCTAAAGACTGCTTTCTTCATCTATTTTTGCTCTTAATGTATTTAAAATAACTGTTTATATCAGTATTTAAGTATCTACGTTGTCATGTTGATGGCTACATAATATCTCATATAATGATGTACCTTAATTTATTAAACCAAACCTCTAAAATATCAAATAGATTGTATACAACTACACTCAATTGTAAATATTATAAAGTAAATATTTCCCCTTAAAACATCAAACAAATTCATATTGAAGGATAACTTGCAAAATGACTGGCTTTTCGTGCACACTTTGGCAGCACATACACTAAAATTGGAACAATACAGAGAAGATTAGTATGGCTCCTATGCAATGGTGACATATAAATTCATGAAGAATTCCACATTTAAAAACAAACTGGGATTTGTTCATCAAAGAATCAAGGAGATATATATATATATGAAAAGTATAGAGAAGATAAAGAAACCAAGTGGTAAAATAGTTACAAAAGATGTTGGTACAATTGGCAAAAGTCGAATATGTCCGATGGATTAAACAGTAATATCATATTGATGTCAAATATCCTGATTTTCAACACTGGTCTCTTGTTCTACAAAATGATGTCCTTATACTTAAGGAATACTAAGGAGCTTCAAAAAGTTCTTGGATAAATGGAACAAAAAGATAATGGTATTTTCCTAGCATTTGAAACCCCTTTATAAAAGGGCAGTTCTTGTATTTTGAATGGATTTCATTTCTGTCTTTAAATTCAGTTTGTACATAAGTCAGAAGAAACAATACAGTTCATACTTAATGTCAGTTAAATGTATATACAATAATATAGTGTGCCAACTATGCATTAAAAATTTTAAGAAATACTTCCATATGCACTAAAATATCTTTAACACAGTAATATAGCAATTATCACAATGATGTTTTGCTATGCATAGAACAGTAGTACCTGTGTGTTATCAAAATATATTTCAAAATTTTAATATAGTAGGATTTATGGGGGTTGTTTCATAACAATGTGTGATAGGTGTCAACTTGGCTAGAATAGGATTCTCAAGTAATTTGGCAGTTGGGGCCCTTCCACGATGCGATCTAACAAAGTGTAATCAACCCCATGGTGGGTTCTGCTGTGAGTAGCCAAATAATTGTGGGAAGGAAGATTAGGGTGGAGTGCTATGTCCTTAATCAGATTACAGCCCTGATGTAATGGGAAGTTTCATCAGGGGTGTGGCCTACTCCTATCTAAGTTGACACTGTGTGGAAGCTAGCTCCTTCTTGCTGGGTCTGGATCCTGCATCTGTCTCATCGACCCCTGGATCTTTGGACTTGAGCTAACAGAATGCTACATTGCCCACCAACCCTGGAAGATACCAGCAGCTTGTCATATTTTCTGGCAACTTGAGATTCGTTTGACTCTTCAGCCATGAGCCTGACCTGCTGACCTTGGATTCATCAGCTTCTGCCTCCACCAGTCTGTGGCCTTCCTGCTTCTTGGTTCACCATTCTGTTTCCCAGTTCTCCAGCTCTGGCAGCTACATGAGTCTGGAATATCCTCCAGCTTAACATCTGACCCCTAGACTTGAACCGGACTGGCCATGTCTCTGATATGAATGTCTTTATTTATTTATATATAAAAGCATCACAGGTTTAGTTTCTCTAGCGAATCCAGCCAAACGCACTCTAGGATGTACAAAAGTAGGTCATTGTGAACATGGGGACTGCCTATACTGGAGTATTTAAAGGTAAAGAAGCACAATAGCGCCAATTTATACTGAAATGGCTCCCCCACCCAAAAAGATACACATACACACACTCCCTACAGAAGCAAAACAGGAGAAACTATAAAACGTTGGTGAATGTGAATAAAGATGAGGGCAACTCTTGAACGGTGTTTGTCTTTAAGTTTGGAATTATAAAAAAACAAAAGGTTACAAGATAGCAGAGGTAAACAATAGGGACGCTGGCACAAAATAAGGTCACTTCTCTGGTGAAGAGCCTCCATTTAACTAAAAGTCCCCCATTTCATGAAGGGTAAAAGCTAAAGTCCTTCCAATGCTCTAGACAGTCCTAAGTGATCTGCCCTTGTGCCCTCTTTCCCTTTCCTCCTCCTACTCTTTCCCTGGTCAGTGTGTCCAATCCGCTAACCTAGCGAACTGTTCCTAGAACATTCTGGAAGTTCCCACCCTAGACTGTCAGCACTGGTAAGCACTGGGGTGAAGGGGGGCGGGGGGCAGAGGGATACACCTAGGTAACGTGAGGACCCTCTTCAGTGAGGACCAGCCTGAAACATCTATTTACAATGGAAACTTACCTACTCGCACTATCCCCCTTTCTCTAAACATTTCCTTCTTTCTTCATAGCACTTATTACCTTTTTAGAAACCTTATGATGTAATGGTTATTCATTAATCTACTAACCAAAAAGTGAAGGTTCAAATCCACAAGGTGCTCTGAAATATTACAGCCTGGAAAACCTAAAGAGTAGTTCTTTTCTGTCCCATGGATCACTGTGAATCCAAATAAACTCAACGGTGCACAAAAACATCAACCACATCCCTTTATAACACCCTGTAAAATGTCCTTATTTATTGTGCTTATTGTTTGTTTACTATTTCCCCCTGTTAAAATGTAAGTACTGACAGAATATGGATTCTATAGATAGATAGATACCCTGCTTCCCCGAAAATAAGACAATGTCTTATATTAATTTTTGCTCCCGAAGATGCGCTAGGTCTTATTTTCAGGGGATATCTTATTTTTCCATGAAGAGGAATACGATGCACATGTATTGTTTTATTAAAAGAGACCTCACACTTCCTGTCTGCTCCAGCTGCGCTGTGGCCAACAGTGAGCTGCACGGCAGCACCCGCCACTACAGTCCAGAGTCCAGAGTTCTGGTAGCTTCAGGGGGCCCTATTTTTGGGGAGGTCTTATTTTCAGGGGATGCCTTCTATTTCAGCGAGAGGCAAAACTGTAAGTAGGTCTTATTTTCAGGGGATGTCTTACTTTTGGGGAAACAGGATAGATAGATAGATAATAGTTGCTGGTAATTAATAAATGCTTATTTATCAAGGGAGGAAGGGGAAGAGGGATGGATAGAAAGAAATGGAAAGGAAAAGGTAAGTGTATAAATCTTTGTTATTTGGAAGGAGACAGAAAAATCTTTGTAAAATGGTAGCAATTTTTATGAGTACCCAGGACCACCTCCCCAAAAAGGATACATAGCTTTAGTAGGCACTTCAGACTGATTGTATTCTTTTGTGTAGGGCACATCTTTTGAAAGTAGTATTTTAAGAATATCAATGTGGCAAAGGTTAACACATTGAGAGGTGAGAAAACGCAATGGTTTTTAAAACCATTTGTCAAACAGCGGTGACAGAATAAGCGAGAAGGCACATGCAGTGCTGTCAACCGCATTCAAATGGCACAGCCTCTGCTCAGATTCAGCTCAACAGACCAGTAACATAATGTTTGCACAAAGTGCCTGGATATGGATGTCCATTATTTTTCTTCCCTTTTAAAAAATCCACTGCACATGAAATGCTAGAGCTAAGGGATTTTCAGAACATTCATTAGAGATAAGACATATCTGGCTGCTGTTTGCTCATTTACAACGAGTAGACATCTCTAGGCAGAGCCCAGAGGAGGAAGGTCAATAAGTCATTTCAAAAAGGAATTCAAGTAGAGAATGGAAATGACTGACGTACGATTAATGGCCACATCAGCCTGCTCCAATTGGAACTAGGGGTGAAATATGTACCCGCAATCTGTAACAAGGCACACAAGTTGTTCCATCCCAAACCCTCCGAATTGAAAATGTGGCCTATCTTTAAAAATCACTTCATATCTCTTACATGAAGACTCAGTTATTGGAATATTGGCTTTTAAAAAATTAATTTATTTTAATCCCCATGGCATTTCTATCAACTACAACACTTACTGTAAGTCAGTATTATAACAATACAGTAAAACCAAACAAGCTTATTACCATTGAGTCCATGGTAGTTTATAGCATCCCCCTATGGGTTTCTGAGACTGTACCTGTTTATGGGAGTAAAAAGCCCAGTATTTCTCTCATGGAGCGGCTGGTGGTTTCAAACTGCCAACCATGTGGATCGCAGTCCACCACATAACCACTACACCACCAAGGCTCCTAGTCAGTATTATAATTTTGAGTATTTTGGGTATTATAGTTATGAATATTCAACAGCGGTACCATCATGAAATCAGGTATCCTGTGTTTTCATTCTTTAATATATCCTTTAGTGCCTCATATATATTCCAATTAATTCTTATTAAATGTACTCAAATTTAATGCTTCTAAGATAGTTCTCTGCTCTGGGAGAAAAATAAAGATCTTTGTACAAAGTAGGTATTTCCTGAATTCATTTGGATGGAATCTCAAACAGATTTATATTTCTAGTATCTTTTATTCCATTATTTCTGAGTTCAGGTGAACCACTGAATACAGTCACTTGTTTGTTAACTTAAGCTAACCAATATTCTCTTTAGCTCAATTTGATTGATTTCTAGTATATAATGACATAGTATCATCACTGCCTCAATCACTTGAATACAAATTCAAGCGGTGATGACTTTGATAGGCATTGCCAATAAATGTCTTGGAAAAAGTACAGTCAGGGTGCTCCTTAGGAACAAGTACGATGAGACTTCATCTCACATACTTCAGACATGTTCAAAGGAGGGACTAGTCTTGGAGAAAAACATTGTGCTTGGTACATTAGAGAATCAACCCAAAAAAAGTGGGTAGGTGGGGAGAGATGCTCAATGAAGTGGATTGGCACAGTGTTTTCAACTCTGGGCTCACACATGACAATGATGGTAAGGATGATGCAGGGCCGGGCAGTGTTTTGTTCTATTATACATCAGGTCACTGTGAGTCAGAACAGACTTGACAGCACTTAACAATCTCAATACCTATTAAAGTTGAAGACAGATATAGTCTATGACCTTATAAGCTTTTTTGTAGAAAATGATATACACGTCTATACCCAGAAATATGTTATCAATTGCTTCAAATTAAAATCAACCCTAATTTATGTCACATTAGTAAAATGAATATTTAAATTATGGTATATTTATATAATGAAATACCATGTTATAATAAACACAAAGCAATGATAGATGGCCATAACATCTTGGATAAATCTTACCAGCATAATATTGAGCAAAAGAAAAAAGCCAGATACAAAATAATAATGTGTATATGAATCTTACTGTATACAATTTTAAAACAGGCAAACTTAGCAATGTTGTCTAGAGAAGCATGCATGAGTTGAAGAAAACAAAGGAAGCCAAAAATGACTATGACAAAAGTCAGGATACAGATTTCCTCTAGAAGGAAGAGAGAGATTTCTGATTTGGAATGAACACATAGG